TTCCCTACAGAGAAAGAAAGATTTCCCTCCAACTACAAGAGAACCTTTTCATAACAAACAATTTGTAACTATCCATTTAAAAGAATGAAGCCAATTTAGTTCTACCTGGAATACAAGCTAAATTCTGGAGCCTAATGGGGAATAGGAGCTCAGACATACTCCTGATCACTACCAGAAATAACAGCAGTCAGCACAGCCAGATGCTGTAACAGTGAAAATATTATTCTAAATCTTAACCATTATTCCAAGTTTGTTCTATAACTTGTAAACAGAACTGGGAGGGAGGCACAGTGGAAGAACTAGACCCCAGCTACACCCATTTTTCATAGCTCTATTTACTTGATTAAAGTCTCTGATTATACTAACTGTGCCCCGGCATTTATGGTCAGAGGTGGGTACAAACCATAATGCTTTAGTCATGGTTAGAGGCCTACCTGAATCTGAAGAAGTAAACCTGTAACAGGTACCTCTTACCCACAAAGGACTGTAGAAGCTGAGTCCCTTAATCATTAACGCCAGCATTAATTAAGTGGAGGTACACCTTTTAATAATTAATGGTGAAAGAGATCTTCTTAGAAGAGCAGCAGTGGATGATAATATTGAATAATTCAGCACCACAACCAAAGGAACAATGTTACAGTGACTTTATATGTGAGCATTTGCAACAAAATCCAACAAAAAACACTTGATAGGCTGATGGCTTCTTCTGTTCAGGAAAGATTAAAGATGCTCTTCCCTACTGAGAGGCCATCAAACAAATTTTGAAACCAGTCTTCAAAACAAAATTAGAAGCAGCTGGTAAAACTGCACAGATACAAGTGACTTTATGCTGGGCTTACACTCTGCCAGACCTGGGCCCCCAAAATCAGACCCATGGCCCAGTAAAGGCAGTAGCTTCAGTAGGTAGAGCCGCATTCCCAAGAGGCCAAACGAGCCACAATATCAAGTCAGTTTAATAAGCAAGGAGAAAAAACCCAACAAAACAAACAAAAGATTTTTCACTCATCCTGTCACTTCACAAAGCTCCAGCAGCAGGGACAGCCTGTGTGTGTCAAGTTTAGAAACCAACAGACAGCTTTCGCAGCTGCTGAGCATTCACATTTAATTTGCGGTCACAAATATTGGAGAATTCTAATTTGTTGCCTGGCTAGCAGCTGAGAGAGACATATACCCCAGGAAAAAAAGCAACAAGTTTTCTTTATTGTATGAAAAAAGAATGTGTCTTACATTTAATTGCAGAAGTCTGGCAAAATATCAAAGAGTGTGGAAAAAAGATGTGCTGGTTTGTTTTGTTGTTTTTTTTAAAAAAAAAAGGCAAAGAAAAAAGATCTGAGTGATAGATCAGGAAAGACAAAGGCTGCTGCAGTTCAGCCTCTGTCTCACTGCTGGCAAGGATTACGAGCTTGCTGCAGCTTCCTGTAGCAGATGAGGCCGGCCAGCCAAATTACATCAAATAAAACGCCTTTGGAATTTCCTTCTTAAATTGTTTTGATGACAAGTTCCTATTAAGAATTGTCATGAATCCATCAGAAAGTAGACGCAGTTTCTTCTGCTTACTGGGAACTGACCATCATGACTTCTTTTCTGGCACCAAATCCCAACAAAGTAGAACTACTGTGCTACATACCCCTGCAGCCACCCCAAGTGAAGAACACGCATCTCCTTGGCTGACAAGGCCAGAAAAAAAATAAGATCTTGGACACCAAGTCCTGCAACACCCGTGCACACTGAAGCAGCAGTTACTAGATTCGATGTAGTTATTACTAAGAAGAAGCATAGGGGAAATGTGAATTTAAAATAAATATATATATATATGCAGATGAACAGCTGCTGAACTGTAACAGCACTCCAAATACTCAAATGCTCTGCAAGAGAAAAACACACCAGGATGTTTCCTTTTGATTACACAGGGGATTAGGTCATCGATTATAGATATGTACCATCACGGGATGGGCAGGGAGGAACCTCTCCCTCCCCAAACAACAAAATGGCCGAGAAGATGCCGAACCTCCCCCGGCCACCCTGAGGCGAGACCCCAGGCAGTTTCCCTCCCCGCAGCCCATCCCGCAGGCAGCGCCCGGCGCCGCGGGCAGGGATCCCGCAGCTCCCGCAGCGTTCCAGCGCCCCTGGGCCGGCGAAGGGGAGAAGGCGACGCAACAAAAGAAAGAAGCGTGCGGGCCCAGCGCCCCGCCTTCGATGCAAACCCCCCGGGAGCCCGATCAGCACCGGTGCGGCGAGGCCGAGGCCGCAGCGCAGCCCTGCGGTACCGCGGGCAG